CTTCTCCCTTCTCCCCCTCCTCCTCCACCAGCTCCCTTCTCCCCCTCCTCCCTTTCTTCCTTCTCCATCAGCTTCTCCCCCTCCTCCTTCTCCACCACCTTCTCCCTTCTCCCCTTCCTCTTTCTCCACCACCTTCTCCCTTCTCCCCTTCCTCCTCCACCAGCTTCTCCCCTTCCTCCTCCACCAGCTTCTCCCCTTCCTCATTCTCCACCAGCTTCTGCCCCTCCTCCTTCTCCACCAGCTTCTCCCTTCTCCCCCTCCTTCTCCTCCAGCTCCCTTCTCCTCTTCCTCCTTCTCCACCAGCTTCTCCACCTCCTCATTCTTCACTAGCTTCTCCCTACTCCACCTACTAGTACTACTCTAAACTTCCTCCTCCCTCCCCCTCCCTTCCCCTCCCTACTGTACCACTGCTCCTTCGCTACCCTGTACCAGAACTACGAGAGTACTGACGATGTTCCACTGATACGCCCGAAACGCCGATAGACCGCGTAGCGCCATCTGGCGGTGGCGTTTGCAAGTTAGTTTCCGACGCTAAACCTAATGTTTACCTTCATATTTTCGAGTTTTTCGTATTTATCTCCTACAATAAATCGCCAGATCTATCTGTCTGTCTGTCTTCTTGAGACCAGTAAGAGGTCACCCGTGAGGTATATTCTCAGTCAGCATGATGCGACGACCATTTTAACCCAAAAACAATTTGCACAAAAACGCCAAATTAAGGGCAAAAAAACAAACAACAGATTTCGCTAAAAGTAGCGTTTAAATTACACACCCATGTCGTGAGTTTGGTTAGGGTTAGGGTTAGGGTTAGGGTTAGGGTTTTTAAACCTGGGGTTGTCAAATAGGATTTGGCCCAGATTTCCCCCCAAAAAATACTAGCACAGCAGAAAAGTTAAATAACAGCAATCCTAGCGCTCGACTATACACTGCAACAGAAAAGTCAAGACGAATCCTAGAACTGCAATCCTATAGCGCTCAACTATAGTCAGGCTCAAAATCAGGCAATCGCATGAAATGATGCCGAAACGCAAGCAATAGCACAAAACGCATGAAATAGCAGAAAAGCACTAACCCCCAAAAAATCCCGGGCATCGCCGGGTAGCCCAGCTAGTTATTGTATAAGCGTCCTATAATGGCATTTTTTTTCTTTCATATTTTAGGCAAAATGGTACGCAACTATGAATTTGATGTTCAGAGTTATGTTAGACACTGAAAGAGGACGCAACATTTTTGACACAATATACATGGAGTAAAATGACATTCCACCTTGCCCCATAACAGGTTTCACTTTGCCCCGGGAGTCTGGGGCAAAATGAAATATTTATAAATTTTATAATTTTGTATATTTCAATAAAGTCGTTTTTTAAATTAACTTTGTTTGTACCTCCTGTTAGTTCTTGTCCTAAGCCAAAGGATTAGAGCCAAACATTTCACTTTGTCTCGCTCTTTCATAGCGTTTTGGCCAACCAAATTTCTTCGGTCCACTTTGCCCCGCTTCCCCTACGTACGCGGGTATACATGTGTACTTTGGGTTGGCTGGCGTTTGTCTGAATTCATAGAGGAGATTACGGGCTAGTAGCAGATGTAAATCAAAATCAACCGAATTTATGCCGCATCAAATTTGAAGTATGTAAGGGGTATAATATTATATCAATGCAACATCGCTAAGACCCTGGGCACAGCAAGGTACTACGAAGAAGAAGCAGTAGCAGCGTAGCATACTGGTGATAACATGTTAGCGAGCAGTAAAATTGAATGCGATACAACTGCACAAATATTTTAATATCTTCACATTTATTAATAATAGAACAAGAATATGAACACATTTTATATATGTACGACCTCAATTCAATACACGCGTTTAGTAATAAAAAAAATATAACGGCTATAAGAGAAATAACTGTCACGCTTCATTACAATCGTTAAAATTGCAATTGGTGTAGCAGCATCTGATAGGTCCTCTGTAATAATTTTAGTTTAAGTCAGGCACCGGTCCATCAAGTAATTTAAAAAAAATCATACAAAGTCGAGTTGAAATATTTCTCCAACGTTTGCCCGGGCTTAGATGAACGGCGTTAGAGAAGTCAAATATGAAACTTGAATAGGAAAACTCTAACTGCATTATATATGCATGTACTACATATGTTACCTGTTTACATGGTCTATCTATATAGGTTGAGAAGTGTCATCATGTTTCTCTCGCTCTCGCTCTCTCTCTCGCTCTCGCTCTCTCGCTCTCTCTCTCTCTCTCTCTCTCTCTCTCTCTCTCTCTCTCTCTCTCT